TTGTCTCCCAGCCTCCAGCTTTGTTCCAGGCCACCCACCACAGTCAGAGGAGACTTTTTAAAAGATGAATTAAGTCCTGTCATTCCCCTGCTCAAGACCCTCGAGGACTCCCATTTCCCTTTAAGTAAAAATCACCCTCCTCACGTTGGCCTGTAAGATCTTGTATGATCTGACCTTTGCCTTCCTCCCCAGCTTCATCTCCAACTCTCCCTCCCTTCGTCCCTCCCCCACTGTGCTCCTGCCACACTTGCCTCCTCCCTGTGCCGAACTAGCAAGCTTGTACCTGTCCCCAGACAGAAACTTGCTGTTCCTTTTGCCTGAACCTCCTTCTGCCAGATATCTGTCTGACTCATTCTCTGACTTCATTCAGGTCTCTGCTCAAATATCTCCTCATGGCCTGCCCATCTGCAATACTCCCCTGCATCACCATCTAACCCTCTATATACTTTATTTTCCTTCATTGTAGGTGTTCTTGTCCGACACATTACACATTATCAGTGTATTTGTCTTAATCTGATCGGCTGCTAAGTGTGCACCACGCGGGCAAAGAGAGCTCTGGTTTTATAGTTGCTACTTTTCGTTGTGGAAATACTCCCACCGTGACCAATTTCAACAGGAATTCACGGAACTTGGGGTTGAGAAGAGATCATATATCATATAACCCATCCCTCATATAATATCATAATATTGTATAATGATACGATAGATGTGAATAATCTTGAGGATCTAGAAAACAGTGAAATAATTAGAGTGATGAGTTTGAGTAATTGGTACCTTTGTTTTTGACTCTGATCTCTTTGGCCTTGAGTGCATACCAGTGAATTGTTACTGGTGGGTGTGTCTGACGCACGGCTGGCAGGACCCACGGGCCCCTGGCCCCAGCGTGGCCCTAAACAACAGGCTGCTGCCTACCCTGTTCCCTGCTGTCTCTGGGGGCCCTTGGATAGAAGCAGCTCCTAGCAGGTGCCCATTGCAGGTTTGCTGAGCATTTTCTAGTGCATCTGTTTGCATCGGAAAACACAAACTGTTTGCCTCCACGGACTTAACTCTTACAGGCTGCATCCGGCCCACCAAAGGGCTTCGTTTGGCTCTCAGAATGTTTTTAACATTAAAAAAAAATTGTTGCCAACATTTAAAAGTCAAGAGTTTGCAGGAAATTCCACATGAACCTGGATTTGCAGCTTCTTTTGAAAAGTGCGGTGCTCTGGGGGTCCTGGTCCTGATTCTCTCGGATGACGGAGGTCAGAGCTGCGGAGCCGCCCCCCTTCAGCGGGTCCCCGCAGTCCTCACCCCTTCCCGTCACCCCTCCCTGGGCCCCCTTCCCTCATTTACAGAACCCACCGGGCCCTGTGGGCAGCAGGTGTCATTGCCGTTCTCGCCTCCATACTGGCGCCCGTCACAGTGTCCCCGCCAGACCAGGGCTGCACTGAGGACACGCTGTGTGCAGTGGGCCCCCTTGGCCTCTATTCCTGCTACAGGACCCAGCGCACAGTAGGACCGCAGGTCCTGGCATTTCATTAAATGTTTGTCAACGAGTCCCGCAGCCACCCCACCCCACCCCCGGCTCCCCTAACTGGGACATGCACTGAATCCAGGCCCCGACTGGAATGTGAGAAAGAGGTTGGCCGAGGCCAGCGTTTAAAAATACCCCAGGGCTGGTCAGCTGCAGAATGCTCCGAGGTGTTGAAATAAGCAGGCAGGGTCTGGCCAGAGGCCAATGAGGGCTATTGGGAGGGGCCCCCGCCCACTCAGAATGGGGGTGAGGGGCGGGGAGACCGGGCTGGGGCCCCCTCCCCCCGGCACCGGCTTGGGACAGGTCAGTGCTGTTTATAAACAGCACCGGGTGACACAACATAATTTCGCATAAGGGTCACCAGGCAGAGCGCGGGCACAGCGCGGCTCCCCTGATGTTTCCACGCCACCATCTCCTGGCTTCGAGGGAGCCGGGATGCAGCTCAGGCCGTGGTCTTCCCGTGGCCTTCAGAGCCACTGCCCAGCTCCCCGGAGCCACGGTTAAAAATAATGCTCGAAGCACAGTCCCCTGGGGGACCGCCAGTGCAGGGGCTGGACAGGGGACAGACAAGTTCTGGTCAAGTGCCCACCGGGTGCCAGGCACTTCAGAGGCATTAGATCATTGAGTCTCACTGTAGCCTTGGGAGGGAGGGACTGTCACCCCATTGGCAGATGGGAAAGCCGAGGCCGGAGTGATGCCACGCACTGGGTCAGGGCTTCCCGGTAAGGTCACGGCAGCTCCAGCGCTCGGGTTCACGAGAAAGAGCCACATGAGGGTCCCCAGTGCTCGGAGCGGCGGCCGGGCCTTAGTGAGCCCTGAGTGGCAGCTCTCATCCGACGCCCCAAGTCAGAACCTGCTCCTCTCACCTGCCCCCCATGTCCCTCGATAGCACCTCCGTCCGTCCAGACTCTGAGACCAGAGATGGGGGCTCCGCCCTCCTCTCCTCTCTCATCCCCATCTGTCCCTCTGCTCCCTCGGGACGGCCCATTGCGCCCCACCCCAGTGGGCCCCCGGCTTCTCCCAGGGCGCACAGGGAGCAAAGCGCACACTCTGGAGGAGGAGGTGGAGAGGGGACGGGCATTAATGGGTGAGGGAGCGCCTGGGTGGCTCAGTCGGTTAAGCGAACGACTGCCAATTTGGGCTCAGGTCATGATGTCACAGTTCGTGAGTTCAAGCCCTTGTTGGGCTCTGTGCTGCCAGGCAGAGCCTGCTTGGGATTCTCTGTCTCCCTCTCCCTGCCCCTCCCCCGCTCATGTTCTCTTTCTCTCTCTCAAAAATAAAATGTACATTAAAAAACATAAATGGATAAATTAACTATATTGTGTCTCAGGTGATGATAAGTGCTAAAGAGAAAAGTAAAGCAGGGAAGGGGCTGGAGAGTCTCAGAGGGACTGACCCCGAAGCAGGAACAGGACCAGGGGAGGAAGCTGAGCGGGTATTTAAGGATAGACTTGAAATGAAGGGGGGGGGTGGGATGTCTGTAAGAAGAGTGTTCCTGGCGGAGGAAACAGCTGTGCAAAGGCCCTGAGGGTGGATTGTGCCTGGCACATGGGAGGATGAGGGGAAGGCCAGTGTGGCTGGGGTGGCGGGCGAGGCCGTGAGGGCAGGGAGTCGAGGGGCCGTGTGTGCAGAGCCCTGCATGTCACTGGAGGGACTCGGGCTTTTTTCTGGGGAAGATGGGAATCATGGAGAGTCCTGAACAGCGGAGGGCACGGGTCTGGGGTCCAGATTCTAAAAGAACCCCTCTGGCTTCATGTGGAGAATGGACTATGAGGGGCGAGGGGGGACGGGGCGATCGTGGAGGAGGGGGCTGCAATGGTCCAGGCTCTAGGAGATGGCGACTGGGCGTGGCCACACGGCGGCTGGGCGTGGCCACACGGCGGCTGGGCGTGGCCACATGCCGGCTGGGCGTGGCCATGGAGGCGGGCGGGCGTGGCGGAAGTCCAAGGTCTCACATTCTGGATTTGTTCAGAAAGTAGCCCCGACAGGACACGCTGTTCCACCAGATGTGACAGAAATGAAGAAATCCGAGATAAGTCTGGAAGGATGGTCCTTCCCCCTTACGGAGATGCCCAAAAACGGGCTCCCAGGGATGGGTGGGGGTGGGGCAGCCCTTCCCTGGGCCACAAGGGACCTGCGCAGAGTCGTCCCCAGTACCATGGCCTTTGCTTTGCAAAATCCCCCCTGGTTCGGATCAGGATTCTTCCCCGGCTCCCCTCCTCCATCCGTGGCCCCGAGCGCTTTGTAAAATGTGCAGAAGCCATCGGATCCGTCCTCCCCTCAAGGTCTGAAGAGCGGCAGGCACTTTCGTGGCTCCCACCGCGTGCCTGGCAGGATCCCAGCCTTGACACCTGCGAACCTGTTTGGTCATCACATTGCAGAGAGATGGGGACTGTTATCACATCTCTTCATGGATGGGGAAACTGAGGCCCGCAGAGGCCAAATCGCTTGCCTGCGATCTCGCAGCTAGCAAGCTGCAGAGGCAGATTCGGCCCCAGGCAGTCAAGGCCAAGGCTCATGCTCTTAGCTTCTCTACTGTAGCTTCTCTACTGTCTCTCACCACTGACCATAAGAAGCCAAAGTGGGCTTGAGGGGCTGGGGCTGGGGGGGAGACCTTCAGCCACCCCGTCCACGTAGTAATAAGGACAGCGGTCATTTCCCGAGCTCCTGCCCCGTGCCTCATGCTGGACCCATGCGCTCTATCCTGCACATCAGCTGAGAGGGTGGATTCTATGATGGCTGTGCCCAGTCTATAGACAAGGAAACTGAGGTTCAGAGAGAGGAAGTGCCATGTCCAAAGTCACACGGCCAGGCATGAGAACCTGGGGCGCTGGGGCTCTGGGGCTCTGGACCCCACACCCCACTCTGTCCCTTTCTGCTTCTTGCCCTGGTGGTGACTGGAGAACTCAAGCACCCGATGGCCACGTTGATCTCCTCCAGCTGCTGTAGGGGAAGGAAGCCAGGGACGGAGACGGCTACTTTGGGGACAGCACAACCCTTCGGGTTTGCAGTTTCTGTCTGGTACAACCAACATTTCTGAGGTGAGCTCAGGGCCGGCTGGAGACTGCAAGGCAGGAGAATGCGGCCGAGCATGTGGGTAAGACTCAGGTCCTAGTTGCCTATATGATGACAGAGGTGGGCGGGTTGTCACAGGAGTTTGAGTCAGGAGCAGCTCCGAGGAGCCGGTGCTCACTAACCTCTAGCCCTGGCAGCTTGCTTACCTCTCCAGACCTCAGTTGCCACCTCTGTGAAATGGGTTGATAATGCCTGCGTCAGAAGGCTGTTGTTAGGTCTAAAGTCAGGCACCAGGGAGGCTCGCTCTCGCTCCAGCTGCCTGCCACTGTCTTCCAGGACAGGACCAGCACTGGACCCAGCATATCATGGGGCCTCTGGGGCTTGGAGCCCTGCTGGCCAGTGTGGGGGAAAAGAATGGACTTATTTGGGACTTACCTCCGCCTGTGGACTGAGTGCTTTCCATCTATTTTACAGGCACATAGACCCTCTCTGCCACCTGCCGAGGCGAGGACTCAGATCACCCTCGCTTAACAGGTAAGTAGAGAGGGCCAGAGAGGTTATGAGCCGTAACCAAGGTCACAGAGCTAAGACATGGTGAAGCAGGGGTTTGCACGTGACCCCTCTGCCTCCTTTGCACGAGCTCTGCAACCACAAGGCTGAAACAATAATAGCTTGAGTTTTTGTGGAGCACTGACTTTGTTACGTGTGTTCACTAATATTAAACTTGACCTCAAACGTATGAGACAGGTGCTATTTTCTTCCCAGTTCACACGTGAAGAAAGAGGCTAAGTAACTTAACCCAGGGTCACAGGGCTAGGAATTTGCAAAAGCGGCGTTCAGACTCGGGTGGTCTGGCTCTGGAGTCCATGGTCTTAAACCAAACTGCTCTGCTGGAAAGGGTGAGCGGGGACATGGTGCCTGGCACACAGGAAGTGCTTCGGGACTTGGTGACCCTTCGAAAAGCGCGGAGAGACAAGCCGCACGGAGGTCTCGCTTGAGGATTCTCTCTTCCCTCATTTCCACCCCTTCCTGTTGGTCCGGGTTGTGGAGGAAAAGCCGCCCATGGGCCCTTTCCCCCTGCCTCTCCTCCCTCCGGGAAAGTTCCGCACCGCACCGCACCGCCCCGGTCACGGGGCCGCGGGCCAGAGGCTCGGCTGGAGCCGTGTTTGGCCAGGTTATCGGGTTTCGTGGTCAGCCACCTTCGCCCCTGACCAGAGCTGTCTTTCCAAAACAGAACATTCAGTCACCGCCTGTCCCTGTGCTCAGCTGTCCTTGCGCCCCTGACCTCGCTTCCTGCCCACCCGCCCGGGGTTTTCCCAGTATCCTTGTCTCTTGCTGACATCTCGCGAAGAGGATCAGAGCGTAGGAAAAAGAGAAAGAGAAACAGGGGCCAAGAGGCGCCGAGAGAGTCCCAAGACTGGTTAGTCTCTGACGGTGAGAGACAGACAATGAGAGAGACAGAGATGCAGAGACCGGTCACCCCAGAGATACCCTGGGTCTCCCTGTGTCCATAGCCTTGGCCCTCGATCCACTGAGTCATGACCTTCCCCCAAAGCTGTGACGATTTCTCCCACCTCCCGCTGCCCCCTGAGGCCAGTAGGTCATGGGAGAGACACCCTGCCTGCCCCTCCTCACCTCAACCCACAGTCCCTCACCTAACTCCTGTTCATCCCCCTTCCTCCAGGAAGTCCTCCCGGTTTCTGCAGCCCCAACTGCTGTTGTTTGTTTCTGGGCATGTCTCTCTCGCTGGAACGTCAGCTCCTTGAGGACAGGGACCCCGGCCGCCTTCCTCACCCAGCACAGTGCCGGGGACACATTGTTGAGTGAAGGGTGTCAACTTCTCCCTGTCTGCGCTTCGTTGTATGGTTATTCGATTTAGGGTCTGTGTCCCCTCTGGTCCCAAGAAGGCAAGGCCTGTGGCTGCCATGTTCACTCTCAAATCCCCAGTGCCTGGAACGGTGCTTGGAACTGAGTAGACACTCAAATATCGGTTGAGTGAATGAATGAGCAAATGAATTAATCACTAGACATCTGGAAGTTTTGAATCTTGTGTTTTCACCCACTGGAATGCAGCTCACATCGTCCCCATGACCATTCACATCAAACCCTGAGCCCTTCCTAAGGCCTGTGAGGTCCCGGTCCCGCGTGATCTGGCCCCTGCCTCCAGCTCCAGCCTCACCTCTGCCCCTCGCCTCCCCTCCCCCTGGCAGCAGCGTCTCTGACCCCCAGGCATCGAGCATGGCAGAGGCTCTCAGCCACCCCTTCACAACGACACCATCAGTCATGTCAGCACGGTCAGTTTTCTCTGTAAACAAGACTCCCTTGGAGAATGGAGCACATTTGTACAAACAACCTCAATGTCACCAATGGACCTTGGTCACTGCGGGATAGTCTCCAAGGATCGGCCGGCTGGCTGTCCGGGGCCTTGTCCTGAGACAGGTCTGAGTCCTAGCCTCCAAAGGGCTGCCCGAGGGGCGCCTGGGGGGCTCAGTCAGTTAAGCGTCCAACTTCAGCTCAGGTCACGATCTCACAGTCCATGAGGTCGAGCCCCTGCGTCGGGCTCTGTGCTGACAGCTCAGCCTGGAGCCTGCTTCAGGTTCTGTGTCTCCCCCTCTCTCTGCCGCTCCCCCGCTCATGCTCTGTGTGTCTCTCTCTGTCTGTGTCTCTCTCTCAAAAAGTAAATAAACATTTTAAAAAAATTTTTTTTAATTAAAAAAGGGGGCTTCCCAGGGTGGGAGGGAGGGGCGCCTGAGTCTGACCTGCCCCTTCTGCAGAAGGGGGGAAAGAAGGCCGCGGGGACCCCAGGGAGCAGGGCTAACCAGCAGGCCCCAGCTGATCCCCGAGGCTCTGACCAGGCCCCACCTCCCCCAGGAAGCCCCTCAGGCCACCTCCCTTGCTCCGTGGGCCCCTCCTCACACCTTGATAGCAGCTTACAGCACAGCCTGTGGAAACTCTCTACTGGACTGTGCCCCTAGTGGACAAGGGAGATAAAGCTTCTGCGTCTTGGTGTCCCCAAAGCTGTGCTCCGCCACGTGGGAGGTATCAGCCAACGTGTGCAGACGAACACAACCGTTATTGAATAAGCGCTTCCTGTCTGGGTCCACATTTACTGTCTCTCTCACTAGGACCCCAAGGACCTTGTCTTCTTTATCTTTGTTCCCCAGGGTCTAGCACTGCTTCACTCGTAAGAGGCACACACGTGGAGTAAGTGAAGGAAGGAGCCCTTCCTCCCATCCGTCATCGCTGCCTCTTGCCCTGCCCTGGGAGTTCCGTAAGGTCAAGGACCAAATCTGATTTCGAGGGCCTCTGAGTGCGGCACAGGGCTTAGCGCAAAGGAGACACTCGGTGGTGTTTGTGGATGGACAGAAGGAGGGAGGGATGGACAGATGATTGAATTTACCAGTCTGTGGAAGAAGGGCCGGAAGGTTGCATGGAGTGATGGGTAGGACAGGTGCGTGGGAGTGGGGGTGGGGGTGGGCACATCGATGGCAGGTGGATAAACGGGGACATGGAAGGTGGGTAGGTACATTAGAGTCCAGGCTGGGAATGTGGGAAATCTCGCTTTCCACACGCTGTAGATGCCGTGTAGAGGAACACAACGAAGCCACACAACGAAGCCACACAGCGAAGCCAGACCTTTTGAGCTAAAATGGATGCAAAGAATGACCCAGCTAGCGTTTCCGTGTGAAAGATATTTAGGAGAAAAAATGGGAGAAGGAAGAACGCCCGAGCCTCTGAAGTTGGCACGTGACCCCCTGTAGGTTGGCCGTGCTTTCCTGCAGTGTCTGTGCTATTTCTTTCTTTTTTTTTTTTTTAATTTCTTAATGTTTTTATTTATTTCTAGGAGAGAGAGAGAGAGACAGCATGAGCAGGGGAGGGTCAGAGAGAGAGGGAGTCACAGACTCCGAAGCAGGCTCCAGGCTCCGAGCCGGCAGTCAGCACAGAGCCCGACGCGGGGCTCAAACCCACGAACCGCGAGATCATGACCTAAGCGAAAGTCGGACGCCCAACCGACTAAGCCACCCAGGTGCCCTGTGTCTGTGCTATTTCTTGTGAGCCTGGCATAGGCAGTGCCCTTGGGTTTGACCCGGATGTGGGAAGAAGTTTCAGATGCAGACCCTGGTTCTGGGTTGCGTACAGTGCGGCCGAGAGGCAGACCTGTGGCCACACATCTCCAGTGGGTCTTCCTGTGGGAAGTGGGGTACACCGACCCCTTTGCTGTGTGGCTTCAAGCAATTCGCCTGACTTTTCTGAATCCTGATTGGCTCATCCCGCTTAGGAGGGTGGCTCCGAGCCCACGCTGGTGCGGCGCCCAGTCAGGCCTGGACTAAGGAAACACTACGCTGGGCCTCAGTGTGTGGCGCCGGCCGAAGCTCACAACTTTCCCGTCTCTTCCTGTCCACTCGGTGCAAGCGCCCACACTGAGGGCCATGAACCGGTGAGGGGGTCAGACTGAGACGTCGGGATGCTTGGGTTCAAATCCAGCCTCTGCCACTCCCCAGATACCTGGTGTCACACGACCCCCTCGCCGTGTCTGAACCTCAGTTCACACACCTACCTCCTCGGCCTCCTGGCTGTGGCTCGAACACAGCTGTCACGCCCGCACCCAGGCTGCACGAGAGGCTGAGAAGACGAGTTTTCTGGCAACTGCCTTGGGGAGGTGGGAGCGTGGGCTCCTAAGGTTGGTGCTGGCCACCCAGATCTGCTCTGAGTCACGGAGCGGGGTGGTGTGGGCTCCAGAATTTCTGCTTCTCGCTGCACCTGGAAGAGAAGCTTCATCCCATCACCGCACACTATTCCACTCTCCTACCTACTTCTGTGTCCAACTGTTCATACTCCATGACTCTACTCACTTATTTATTCACTTAATTTCTTGTCTGTTCCTCCAGCACTGATATTGTCAATTTCATGAGAGGCAGATCTTTACCTTGATCACATCTGTGTCCTCAGGGCCTAAAGCCCAGTCAGGCACATAGTTTGTGTTAAATAAATGGTTGAGTAACGAAATGGATAGATGATTGGATGGATGATGGGTGGACGATGGATGGATGATTGGGTGGATGGATAGGTGGATGATAGATGGATAGTGGATGATGGAGGATTGGGTAGATGGATGGATAGATAATTGGGTAGATAGATTGATGGATGGGTAGATAATGGATGGTGGATGGTGTATGGATGATTGGATGGATGGACAGATGGATGGATAGAAAGTAGATGGATGATGGTTGGTTGGATGGATGGATGACTAGCTGGACACGGTAGAATCAGTTAAAGATCTTAAATGGCTCACACACACATATACACACACGTGCCCCAGCCCCGCTCCCAAAATAAAAATAAAAGCCAACACTTGATGAGTGCTTACTGTATACCTGGCCCCATGTGCAGCCTACGATGTAGGGCCTTTCACTGAACCTCCTGGCCACCCACTGAGCTAGTAACTAATGCTAATCTTTTTTTAGAGGACAAACCTGAGGCTCAGAGAGGCAGTCACTGACCCCAGGTCACACAGCCAGGAGGTGGAAGAGCCAAGGTTCAAGTCAAGATCTGTTTGATTCCAGAACCAAGCTTGGGCTCGCTGGGCCAGCGCTCCCCAGGTGATTCTGAGAGCAGGCAGATGGAGAAGCCTGAGCTTCTGAGTTCTGAGCAGGGCAGGGAGTTCTGGGAAGTCTGTGCTGCTTCCTCCTGTCTGACAGAGTGGGTGGTACGCCTGCCCCCAGGGCTTCAGGAGGGTGGAATGAGTGAGCAGAGCGCCCCCCAGACAAGTCCTACGGGCACCAGCAGCGGCCACACTGTCAGCCCCAGGACTGGGGGGCCGGGGCCACCCTGCTCCTTCACCCAGCTCCCCTGGGTACAGACATGTTCCCACTTCTGAGTGTAGAGTCGAGACCCACTGCCGAAGACCCTTCGGGGACACTCAGGAGGCTACCGCGTGGCAAAGTCTTGCCCAGAAATCAATGCTGCACAGATACCTGTGTCCACGGGGATGCGGCACAGCCGATCACTACCGTGCAGCTTGTGACAGCAAAAGCCAGGAGACAAGCCTGAGAATGGTAACAGCTGATGTGTGTTTACAGCAAGATTTCTCAACTCAAAACTATTGACGTTTGGGACTGGATCAGTCTCTGCAGTGGGGTGTGACCTGTGTGTAGTGGACTGTTAGCATCCCGGGGACTTCTAATACCACCATCCATCCAGGTTGTGACAACCAGGAATGCCTTCAGACACTGCCATGTGTCCCCTGCGGGACAGAATCCCTCCACTCGCTGAGAAGCTGGCGTCCAGGGCTTGCTCTGTGCGGGACACTGGAAGCCACCTCCTCTGAGGCCCCCGCCCACCTGGAGGCGGATGCCGTTGACGGTCCTACTGTGCAGAGGCGTGATTAGTAGTTTGTCCAAGGTCCTGGAGCGGACATGTCAGCAACGCTGTGATTTGGACCTGTGAGAAGTCCCACATCCCTCTTTCCTCTAGCCAATTTTTGCGGGTTCCTTGGGCTTTTCCCCATTCACAATCCTGTTGTCTGTGACTGGACTTTATCTCACTTCCAGTTTTCCCTTGGCATCAGAACAGCCTTGCAGGGCACGGATGCGACTCAAGTAGATTCTGTGATCTGCACAGGGCTGTTTCTTTCAGGAAGTTAAATTTGCTCAATTATCGACAATCTGGAAACAAAACAGAATACAAAGAAAAAAATCAAACTTCCTGCTGGACTCACCACAGAGGCCCACCTCTTAGCAGCTTCTTCCTCTGAGTAGCTCCCTCTGTTTTGAGATGTTGTCACACAGTCGCAATCACACGATATATACAACTTCAAATCCTGCATTCCACAAGCTACAAAACTGGTTGTTGGTGTTGGTTTTTTTTTTCATGTTATTACAAAATCCTCTTGGATGTTATTTGTAATTGTTGCCGATAGTGGCAGAGACCCCAGTTTCTCCTCTGTTCCCTGACCTGTCCCTCTTCTTTCATAATAGAAATCTCAAGTTTTAGCTGGGCACGTGGCCACCAAGGGGAAAAAACTACATTTCCCAGCTGTGTCCATGTGACTCAGCTCTGGCCAATGATATATAAGGAATTTCCAAGTAGTGTCCTCAGAGCGAGGGCGTCTGCTTTTCTTCCTCTCCTCCTTGCTGGCTGGAATGCAGGTCTGATGGCCGGAATCTGAGTGGCAATCTTGGGCCACGGTGGAGCAACAACAGAAAAGACACCTGAGTCCCTGATGAATTTATGAAGACAACTTACCAGCCCTGAACTTCTGTTTCATCTAAGCCCCTGGCATCCTGGGCTTTTAACCGCTCAAAGAGGAAGCTAATCCTGAGTATTGCACTAATACTTTGCTGGAGGAATTGTCTCTAACATTCTTTTAGGGATTACCACCTAATTAGCTCAACCATTCCCTGGTCATTAAGTATATAGGTAGTTTCTGACTTCCTGCTACCAATAACCTTCATCCCAGGTGGGCCCCAGAGTCAGGATGGCAGGCTGCACCCCCAGGTATGAGGCCAAAGT